AAAAGGGATGAGGAATGCTATGAATGCCACTCTGAATTCTTGAAAGAAAGGTGGGATATAAATCCAAGAAATAGATTATGCCTATCAGTTCAGGGCAGATTACCAGAGAGCAAACAAATGTATTGGCAGATATCTGTGATATGCTGGTGAGTAGTGGCAAAGATGACTTTTACCATCAAGAAAACAAACATATCCATTTTTGAGGTGAATCTTTTCAGACTGTGGTCTCCAAGCTGATGTAACAGGCCATAGGAATAACCTTGAGGAACAGGAGGAAGAATAGAATCAAGGCAATGGTCAGGTAAGAGAAATCTGAGTCCAGGGCAGAAATGTAATTTGAGAAAGCATCGCAGACTTGACCCTCCCTAGTTCTCTTTAGGATAAACGGAGGGAAGGAGGAAACACATTCAGACTTGCAAATTCTGTTACTGTAATCTTATAATAAAATCAGTATAAGCGTTCATAACTTTGGTTTCCTAGTCTGGTCTACCTCCAATAGCTGACATCTGGAGATCTCCAGATGTGAGTGCGTGGAGGGGAGCCAAAGACAAAACTCACATTATGGTGCCAATGATGCAACTTAACGTATGTTTTATGATACATGACATCTACTTTATGACGCAAATAACATGGTCTTCTTTGTACAATGACGCCATGACGCACGTTCCATCATTTTGACGTCACTGTGGCTTATTACAGACACCCTGTCCAGATGTGTGGGATTGCACCTCCCATCATTCCCAGGCAGCATGGGCAATCTAGTCCAGCACATCTGGCAGGGTGGAGAATCTACTACTGGCACAGTTTGTCTGCTTATTTAATGGATTCAATTTATATAGTTGCCCACTGGGTGGCCAACAACATTCAAAACAGCCAAAGAAATGCAAATAGAAACGGAGAAAACCAGAAAAGAAAAATGACACCCCCACCCCCACAAACACCCAAAACATTGGGATCAACATTCACTTCACATACATTTAACCTCAGAGGTAAATTAATTTAGGCTTCCTGTAATTTGGTGCTCTTTATAAAATGTCTACTTCGACATTCCTCTCTTGCTTGAGTGTTTTTGCTGAGAGGATGCCAAATTGGGAGAAAAGATACTTTTTCAACAAGATACACATCTCTAATGAAAACACATTATATTCACCCATCCTCTCTCTCTCATACACACAGAATTTCAAAACTAAATTCTTCCCCGTCTTCCAAAAAGAAATGAGAACTGTGGGAACTGTCTCACTCCGTCTTTCTTTTACTGAAATTCTACCCACCAGGTTTTAATTCCTAATTGTCCAAATATAGGTTGTGTCGTTTGCTTGGACATCCTTGAATCTCACTGGCTGAAAAGAGGGAGAAACTAGGTGAGAGAAGATCCAAGAGTGTTAGCCTATTTAATCACTACAATGCCTCTGGCAGGCTCAGTTTCAAGTCACAGGTATTTATAGCTCCCTTTTCTTCTCCAGCTCTACTATACCTGTTAACCAACAAGCAGCCCCAAGATCTGAAGATCAGAGAATCTGAAGAATTTAATCTGTTGCTGCAACTCCCTTCAGAGGCTGTCCACCACCCACTACTGATTCTTATAGTAGCTTCCCCACTCAGAATGAATCACCCACAAAGGGAATACTTGCTTCTTTTTTAATGATCAAAAGGTTACCTTTGCGTAACAACCACATGTTAGCTGACAAACTCAGCTCGTGTGGCCGGTTTCTGGTTCAGTGTGCCATGAGAACCCAGAAACTGGGTTGAGTAAACCATGGTTCAGCTAACCAGTATGTCATGTGAAGACAGATATTTAGGGATCACATGGCCAAGGGCGGGGCATGAGTGTCCCGTCTTTCACTGACCAATCCTCCCTCTTGGGGTCTGTAGCCTCTCTGGTGTCCCACCCACCTATTCAAGCCAAGGAAAGGCACCAGAAAGGATTTTGCCCCACTGGACACTGAAGGCTTGTAGAGTGAATCCCAGTTAACAGCATCAGTCATAGCACTTCCTTCTCCACCAATAAATTAAACTCAAAAGCATCCCTAAGGAATGTTCAAGTGCTCTGAGCAGAAGATAAAAATGAAAAGCCTTTTTTGGCAGGGGAAGAAAATGTCTGAGAAACTGCCAGGTAGATTTTTAGCACTGTTATTTTGGAGAAGTTGATCCAAAACCAATTAGCATAGGCTAGGTTTTCTTCCTGGTAGGTATCATTTTATCAACCATTTTTATCAAAATTGCCTTTAGAAACAAAAACAGCGATCTGGCAACTTTTTAGAAGTAAATATTTGTGCAATAGTATTTACAGGAAATACATTATAACATTATTTAGAGCAAAGAATAGAGCCCCTTTCTTTTTCTTTTTCCTTCTTTTTCCTTCTGCTGCCTTTCAGACTAGTTGGGTTACTTCTGAACTATCCTAAAATCCTTTCCAAATGTTAAAAGCCTTGGCAATAACTGCCCTGCATATTATACGTTCAATCAGCTCTATCTCTGGTTGGATTGCGGTTATTTAAAATATTAAAAACAATGGTAAAAGCCATAAAACAATAAAAACAGTAGCATGAATGAAAAATATTTATTTCCTTATGTTGTTTTCAAACTGCCACACTCATGTGGATTCAAAAATAGTCCCAACATCTGGTAATTCATTCTCATTCTCATTCTCATTCTCATTCTCTCTCTCTCTTTCTTTCTTAGCATGATGTAAGAATTATCTTTGGGGAAACATAGGGATCTATTCTCTTTCTAATACTGGTTTCTGTTAAATTATAAATATCCTCTATTATTTCTAGTCACCGATACATAAGACGATGCATTCAATAGCAGGTTGCTTTTGACACAGAGGGATTTAGATAATTTAAGGTTTATTAGCACTTTTTTAACTTGGCTACTTTAAGATGTGTGGACTTCAACTCCCAGAATTCCTCAGCCAGCATGCTGAGTTGAAGTCCAAACATGCTGGCTGGGGAATTCTGGGAGTTGAAGTCCACACATCTTAAGTGGCCATGTTTGAAAGACACTGGTTTAGAGTCTAGAGTCAAGGTGTTGTGTTCATTCGTGCTGTTTCCATACTGAGTCTTTGTTGCACAATTGTCCCGCTCATTTGTAGAATTAGGAGGAGGGTTGTCCAGGCACCTGTAGGACATGTGGGGAGGCTGGGAGAGTAATGGGAGAAACATTGGAGATAAACAATCAAGCGATGGAGTCCACTGGTAGCTGATCTCTTAAAAGGTAACTAAGAGCAGGTGGCAAGAAATCTGGGGAAAAACAGTTCAAAACATTTCAAGAGACTCTGCCTCAGTGAAATCACTAAGAAACGAGGGTTGGAAATCCATTGTAGTTTCAAGATTCTGTCTTTATCCCTAATACTAACGTGATATCCACCTTACTAAAGTCTGCGTAGTTCTTGCTTCCTTGGTCTTGCCCAGCTGGGTGCACACTGATAACACCACTGCCTGCCATTTTCTGCCCTTTTCCACTAATTATTATTATTATTATTTAGATTTATATCCCACCATCCCAACAAGAGCTCATAGTGCGATACGTAGCACGCCTTCCTCTGATTTTTTCCCCCACAATAAGAAGGTTGAACTGAGAGATAATAATGGTCCCAAGCCACCCAACAAGCTTCCATTCTGAAGGTGAATTTAAACTCTCCACAATCCTAATGCACCATCCTGACGACTATCTGACACTGCCCCAAAATTCAGACCCTCAGGAACGCTCCAGCTCAAAGCCTCCTGGCTGGCTGAGGACTCAGAGAGAATGACAGGAGCCAGCTCCGAACTCCAGCAGAAGCCTTAGGACCTTGGAGAGCTCCCTGCAGGAAGTCACAGGATGCGTGGACACCTGTGGCTCTAGCACAGCGTTTCTCAAACCTGGCACCTTGAAGGCATGTGGACTTCAACTCCCAGAATTCCCCAGCCAATTCTGGGAGTTGAACTCCACCTGTCTTGAGGCTGCCAGGTTTGAGAAACACGATTCTAGCACCTGCCAGTGAACAGCTAAGGTCTTCAGACAGTCGGCAGAGCCTGGTGACCCTAGCTGTCCTTTTGCTGGTGGCTGAGTATACATCAGCCCTTCAAGGCAGATCAGACTAAGGAACCAATGTCATGTAGGCCAATACGACTTTCATTGTACAGTTAAAGTAACACAGTCATGCAAATCTGAATGCACCTCTGTAATGGTATGTGAGAATGACCTTGGGAGACAGGTGGAAGAGCCGCAGACTAGACAATGGTCAGACAAACAGCAGCTGAGTCCAAAAGTACTGTGTTTTCTTGCTTCAGCATCACTCAACCAAAGTTCAGGAGGAGACTTTTTATTTTAAATAAAAAACAAGAACACATAAGCCACAGACACGCATACTAATGGCACATAAAAAGCAATACATGTGCATAAATCTTATATCCTTTTTACCCACTTAATGGTTCTGGCTTCCAGGAATAAATCCCAGGAATTGTAGCTGGGCAAAGTGCTCAGAAACTTTATAGAGATGCTTACTCCCACAAAGCTACATTTCCCAGGATTCCCCAGTAAGAATGACTATAAAATCAGCTTAAAGCAACCATATTGATACTAGTGCAGAATTTTCCATCACTTTTACCAGTGCCATCTTCTAAACTGGGGTTGATGTGATGGAATGGAATTATGAAGGCCAAGCCCAGGGAGATAAGCATTTTCTTAGCTCACCGGAACCGCGTGGGAGGAACAAAAGGATGAGACTGGCACCTCCCTGAGGAATTCACACTGTTGTGGCTGGGAAACTTTGGGAACTGGGGGTTTAGTCTGGGGAGGTTCTTGCTTGAGGGTGTAGGTTATAAAAATAGGAGGACTGAATTTG